TCTTTAACTTTCTAAATCAATACTGCTTGATTCTCAAGCTGACTATATACATTCCTTGTTTATGAACATCCCATTATAATTCCTGTAAGGTCTCTAGAGTCTTGTATTCAAAAGCTATTAGTTTTGCAATCATGCTGGAGGTGCTGCGACTCAGTGTATCAGCCACCACATTTTCTTTTCCTATATGGTAGGATACCTTGCAATTATAGTCCTTAAGAAGATCAATCAATCTACGCTGGTTCATGTTTAGTTCCCTCTACATGAAGAGATATTTAAAACTCTTTTAATTAGTATAGATCTCAAACGTCTCTCCATACAGATAATGATGCCATATCTTAAGGGCATGTACAATTCTAGCTAATTCCAAGTCATGAGTCGGGTAATTTCGTTCATGGTTCTTGAATTTTCTTGACCCATAGCTTATGACTCTATGATGTTTCATTAACACACATCCTAAACTTTGACTTGACGTGTCAGTGTACACAACATAACCCCCTAATCCACTTGGTAGAGTTAATACTGGAGCTGTCACAAGTTGATCTTTGAGTTCTCTGAAGCTATTCTCACAGTTTGGGGTCCATTCAAACTTAGTATCCTTCTTAGTAAGCTAGGTAAGAGGAGTTGCAATCTTAGAGAATTCTTTCACGAATCCGCAGTAATACCTGACTATCCTAGGAATTTACGGACACCTTTCACGGTAGTGGGACATTTAGATTAACTGGTATGTAGGTGTGAAATTTGTCGTCTAAACTTCGAAGCAAGCATAGAGTATCGTGGAGAAGCGAGAAAACCACCCTCGGAGTTGAACCCGAGGCCGAATCGCACCACACCAGTGCAGGTAAGCCTTTTTTTGTGATTGTTTGGCTGTTAGGGCGATGGAAGCGGGCGGTTGATGTTGGGCTGGCCACACAAGCTTAGTCTAGTCGCTCATCCACTCAAAAACCGAGGGTCTTCCTCGGGTACGAAAACCCGATACTCTCGATTTTGGGAATAGGGACCGTTGAGGAGCAGATTATTCACCCTTACGCGGTGAGCCAGGCATCCCGTCAGATTGTCATTGGAAACCATAATTTGGTCGAATTTAGCCTCTGTTTAATATTTAAATTACATTAATTAATATGTGTCGTCTGTGTGTACAGTGAACTAGGACGTTCAAGCAAATCTGGGAAGGTCGTTGTGCAAATGAGTTGTAAGTATTTCTGATTTTGAACCTAGATTAGGATTTTGAATTTATACATGTATATTATTAGTTTTATGTGTGTTTTAAACATAGAACATATACGAACTCGATTTCTTGATGAAGAACAGAAACCGAACCTATTACAAGTGAACCCTAATCTGTTTGAAATTTATGAGGAGATGGAAACCAGAAAAAATCAATTACTGAGGAATATTTGAACTGATGATAAGAAATAAAATTTAAATTTAAAAGAAACCACCAATTAAGTGGAAGGTTGAGAAAAAGAAAATAAAATAACATAAGAAAATGAATAAAAATAAAAGGGAAGTAATTATGGTTATGAAACGATTAATTTAAATAAAATTTAAGAGCAAAATAGAATAAGAGGGAAGTATCTAAAAATTGGAAAAGGAGAGGATGTGAGTGAATAAGGTATGGACCGTGGAATACCTTATCGTTTAGTCTGAATCGAGGAGGGAAGTGTGTGTGTGTGGTTGAAGTTCAGCGGGCATGGTGAACTTGCACATAGATAGAGTTTGAAAGTTAGTCCAGACGTGGATAGGTGTTTGTGAGTGTGGGTCACCTAACAAACATAACTGTTGTGGCCATTGTGAGATTTTGTATGTGTGCTATCCACGCGATGGGGAGATCCACTTCACATCTCCTCGACGACAACATAAACGACATCACGCGATAAAACCTTAGAGATGTCCTTTTGGGTGTATATATGATATTTCGAGTGTATTTAGTTATACTTCGAGGTTATGAATGATATTCGAGTGTATATATGTTCTTTCAAGTGTATGTGGTTATACTTTGAGGTTGTAAATGATATTCGAGTAAAATTTAGAAATCCAGTGTTAAAACCCTTTCCGGCTAGTTTCGGCCGATTTCGTCTAGTTTTATACTCATTCCTGCGAGAAAACACGTTAAGGGCCTCAGTTGGCCTAATAAAATCGAAAAACAAAAGCTTACCGGCGGCAGGGTTTTCTGGTGCAGCGATTTTGCCGGCTCACCTTCGCGGTTGGGCATTTTTCTTCGGTCAACCTGTGAAAAACAGAATGGTGAATACAATAGTGAAAAAATCGCACGAAACAGAAATCAGGAAGGGTCTCATTAAAGGTGATTTTTTATTTTTCTTGCGGCGGCGCTGCTAGATTTTACTTGCGGTTTTCGGCTCATCCGCCGACCCTTTTGCTCCAATTTAGTCATGGAGGTTTTAAAATCGAATTTTGAGCGAATGAAAAAATTGTTTACCTCGTTTGGCAGTCGGAGGTGATTTCAGCACGGTATTAGTCGGAGGTGGCTTCGGCACGGCGGTGGACGACGGTCGGCTCTCCTTCCCGGCGACTGGTTTAAATGTGAAGTGAGGTATTTATATCTCTCTTCCTTTAATCTTGGCCGTCCATTGCGTTTGATCTCGAACGTCAAATCGTGTTTAAATAAGAAATGAATCTGGACCATTCATAACAATTTGATCTCGACCGTCTGATCACGTTTAAATAAAAAATGAGTCTGGACCATTTATCGCGATTTGATTTGAACCGTACGATCGCACCTGAGGAGAGAACGGATCTGGACCGTCCACGCGCGCGGGAACAATTTCGGACCGTCCGATCGTGAGCACACAGATTGCCAGCATGGCCTACCGTGTGGCACCGCGTCAGCGTACCTTGCCACGCAGCGCACTCCGGTTCGTCGGGGCTACTGACTAGGCGATCCTACATGACACATTTTTCTTAAATTGCGTTTTGAACATCAATTTTTGATTTTTCTTTCAAAAATACTCTTAAAACTTAAATTTTCACCTATTTTTTCTAAAATTATTTTTAATTTCATTATCCACCTTTTTTTTTTAATTTTTTACATTAAATAAAATTCATAAATTAAAAAAATTATATTTTATACATTAATTTTAAAATTTTAAAATTAATTACGGTTTTTACATAAAGAACCTTGCTGGTGCTTGGAAGAGATGGAGAAGAAGCGTGCTTAGTGTTTCGGTGGAGTTTGAACATTTCGAACCAAACCAATAAGATAGCCAACAGGTGGATGGAGAGAGCATGCTTTTGATAGGAGGAACATAACATCATTCGTATGGTTATATATATATATATATATTCATTTATTGATTTAACTAATTAAAAAGTAATATGAAGTAATGATAGATTTTTAAAAGGATTTAAGATTTTATATGCAAACTAATCACAAAATGCTGTTTGTCACGTGACCATCAAATTAACGGAGTTATTAAAACAATTGTTAATATTAAGGGGACAAAATTTAAAAATATAAAGAATTATTTAAATATTTTTCATTAGTGTACAAATTAATTATTATAAATTATTAACATTTAAACAAATGCATTTTTAAGTATGTGGTATCATTTACATGTCTTTGTAAATAAAATTAAGGATGGCAAGAAATTAGATTTTATTAAATTCGAACTCGTAAATAAAAAAAAATTTGAACTCACTCGGAATTTGGGGTAGATTTGTTTTTTTTTTACAAAAAAATATATTAATTTTATTATTTTAAAATATATTTATATTAAAAATTGAAAATATACTTATTAATATACAATAAATATATTGATTATATTTATTAATAATCAACATCAATATCAAATTAATTATATTTAGTGATATAATATAGTATATTTATTAATATAAAATATATATTCAGATATAATTGATTGGCTTAGAATCTATTCTACAAGATCAAATTCGAATTGACTCGTACTCATACTTTTAATAAAAAATATATTTATATATTATATTAGATTAAATTTAAATGAGTTCAATAAATGGATTTAGATATAAAAATATGGTCTCTATAAACAATTACTTCTAGAGTTTTTTTATTATTTAATTTTGAAAATATCATAAAATTTATGCCTTTCTATAGTCTTATTTTTTTTTTGTTTGAGAAAATGTTATATCTTTTATTTAAAATGAGATATCAATTTATATTATCTTCCACATTATTAAATATAGCTTGTATAAAAATTAAGATTCTTCTTGTTAGTGGTCCTCTCATTAATTTTCCAATCTTATGAATTTTTCACGTGCAAATTTTTTCCATCACACAAAAAAAAAAAAATTAAATAATAATATACCATATGATATTTAACCCTCAAAATAAATTACACAACAAATAATTATTTATTTGGGATCCAATTATACTAAAAATTAATTAATTTTATATGTTCCTATCACCAATATGATTAAATAATTAAAAAAATATAATATAATATGTGTTCAAATATGTATTTTCCACCACCTTAGTTTGAAATTCGATTATTGTGATTAAGAAATTAAACAGGACAACCATATAGTATAAACTATAAATAAATATTTAACATGTAGCAATTAAAAACATGACCAACTATTTCTGCTAATCATTTAATATGTTATATGCTAGTACACAATGACTAATATATATATATATATATATATATATTCACATATATAACTAATTTAAGTATTGTAAACTATTACATAATTATCCTATAAATAGGTAATACGAGTATATAACTATGCTAATCTTTAATTAAATTAGAGTTGTGTTAAATTCAAATTTAGAAATAAATTTTTTTAATGATTTCAATAACTTTTAAACCTACACCATTAGTAAAGCTCGAGATTAAACATTAAAAATATTTTCGACAAATATTATTATACACTCATAAAATTAAAATAAACTAAAATTTATATTTATCTAATTTATAAAAATCACAATTTATATATTGAAAACGTGTTTCACGCATACATAGAAAGTTCTATATATATATTGCAGGAGTTGCAGAATCACCACAAAATTCAAAGTAAGCTCTGAAAACAAGAAGATGAACACACGTATTGAAACCCTACATACCACAAACCTTTTTCCTCTATATTCTTCTTCTTTTTCTTCTTCTACTTCCAATGTCTCCAAACCTTCAGCCCTCAGCCATGACAGAAACTTCCTGCGCCCCATTTACACCCACCATTATTCCCTCTGCAAGTCCAAGAAACTGCTCCAGCACCATGCGAGGAGTTTGTGCGTGCGTGGATCGACAAATCCTTTTCAAGAACTGAGTATTAGATACAAACAGGATCATATCAAAGTTAAAAGTGTTGTAACCGTAAAAGTCACCATTGGTGGCTTCTTCGCCAACTTAGATGTTACCAGACCGCTTGATGATATTGCTGATTTGCTCGGCAAAACCTTGCTCTTAGTGCTCGTTAGCTCTCACCTAGATCCTGGTATGTACATATATATGTATATATGTGAATATATATATACACTTATTATAAGGATATAAAACTAGAGAACTGTTCATTTAACCGGTTAAGATATTAAATTGGCTTGTTTACTAACATTCGTGTTAGTAAAAAATTTATTCAAAATTAATTCAACTCTAATCGATAATGGTTAAGAGAATTTATATCTCTAAAATTAAATATTTATAAATTAGACAAAAAATTATTTAAAGCAATATAATTTGCTTAAAATAGAGAGTTTTAAAGCAATATATATATATATGTACGTACTCATGGACCATGCACATGCGTACATATGCCTACATATATTTATGTGTTTATATATATGCACGTGTGATGTTTCGTATAGATACAATAATTATGGATTTATGGACTTCCATTTTAATTGAATGTAAAAATAATAAATATATTAATTGAATAATGACGCAATAAACGGTGAAACTCCGTTTTCATGTCCGGCAGAGACTGGTTTAGAGAAAGAGAAGGTAAAGGCGTTCGCGCACAGATCGAGCCAGGAAGGAGATGAAGTCAAATATGAATGCGATTTTAGTATCCCTGCAGATTTTGGATCTATTGGTGCAGTGGTCGTGGAGAATGAGCACCACAATGAGATGTTCTTGAAAGATATTGTGCTCGACGGCTTACCGGACGGCTCTGTTCATGTTAGTTGTCAGTCTTGGATTCATTCCAAGTTTGATAATCCTGATCGAAGAATCTTCTTCACCAATAAGGTAATTTCATTTTTCTGCATCTGTAACTTCATATTAGCAAGTTTTTTTTTATGAGGTTTTGATTTTATGTTTTTTATTATATGCAGTCCTACATAACGCAAGAGACACCAGAAGGGTTGAGGAGATTGAGAGAGTTAGAGCTTGAGAATTTGAGAGGAAATGGACAGGGAGAACGTAAGAAATTCGAGAGAATATATGATTATGATACGTATAATGATCTTGGTGAGCCGAATCAACCAGATCTTGCTAGACCTGTTCTTGGAGGTAAACAAAATCCTTACCCTAGGCGTTGCAGAACAGGACGTCCTCGCACGAAGGAAGGTATCCTGAAATTAGTGTTTATTGAGGAAATTAGTGTTAATATACAATCAATTATGAGCTAGTAATTCCTTTTAATTTCATATTGGATTAGGTTAGAAAGTGAATTTAAACTTTGTGTTATTACAGATCCATTATCAGAGACAAGAAGCAGCAGCGTGTATGTGCCAAGAGACGAGGCGTTTTCAGAGATTAAACAGCTGACATTTTCCGGCAACACACTTAAATCTGTGCTTCATGCTCTCATTCCCCAGATTGAGTCTGAACTCGTCGATCCACACCTTCGATTTCCGTACTTCACCGCTATCGACTCTTTGTTCAACGAAGGTATCAGCTTGCCTAAGCCTAAAAATGCTTTCTCCGGAGTCAAATCAATAATTCCAAGACTCGTCAAGGCTGTTGCTAGTAAACAAAATGAAATGTTGTGCTTTGAGACCCCAGAAATGGTTGACAGTACGTGACTCCATTCCTTCTCCCTAATTTCCTTCCTTATCCCATACTTACGGCTTTCTGATTTGATTAATACTGGATTATCGACATGAAATCTAATATTTTGCAGGAGACAAGTTTGCTTGGTTCCGGGATGAAGAATTTGCTCGCCAAATGCTTGCTGGACTTAACCCATATAGCATCCAACTTGTGGCAGTATAATATGTTTACAATCATATATTAACCAAGAAATTGCAGATGCAATATATGTTATGTTATATCACATGGGCGTATATATAATAAATGCTTTCGTGTATTTTCTCTTTCCAGGAGTGGCCACTGAAAAGTAAGCTTGACCCACAGATTTATGGACCTCCTGAATCATTGATCACCACAGAGCTCGTCGAGAAAGAGATTAAAGGAATCATGACAGTCCAAGAGGTACTGTAAAAGATATGTAGGCTTCTTGCTCTTCGTAATTTTTCATGTTTGGTATTGGCTTTCATGGGATCTCTTGGGAATAATTTTTAATATTTAGAGGTAAAAGTGCTCATGTCAATATATCTACAGGCCTTGAAGCAGAAAAGACTCTTTATTTTGGATTACCATGATTTCTTTTTACCTTATGTGCACAAAGTGAGGGAGATTGAAGGCACTACATTGTATGGCTCTCGGACGCTTCTATTCCTCACTGATGATGGCACATTGATGCCTCTTGCGATTGAACTAACTCGCCCTAAAAATGGTGAGAAGCCGCAATGGAAGCAAGTGTTCACACCGAGTCATCATTCCACAGATTGCTGGTTATGGAAGTTGGCTAAGGCTCATGTTTGTGCTCATGACGCCGGTTTCCATCAACTTGTCGCCCATTGGTAAGCATCCATAAATAGAAGTTACATGCTAATAAATAATTACAGAGTTTGACAATCTTTTGGATCATTGGGACCTTAATTGGGCAAGCAAAAGATATTTTAATTGTTTTCTGTGATTTTTACATACATGGAATACTGATTTAGCGTTGGGTTAATTATTCACTGTTTTGTTCATGGGAAAAAATTGCAGGCTAAGGACTCACTGTTGCACGGAGCCTTACATAATAGCAGCTAACAGGCAACTTAGTGCTATGCACCCAATTCACAGGCTGCTACTTCCTCACTTCAGATATACAATGGAGATAAATGCTCTTGCTCGACAAAGTCTCATCAATGCTGGGGGGATCATCGAGAGCAGTTTTGCACCAGGGAAGTATTCCATTGAAATCAGTTCTGTTGCTTATGATCAGCTCTGGCAATTCGACACAGAAAGCCTGCCAGGAGACTTGATTAAAAGGTATGTTGCCTAGCTACTGAACTTTGTCTTACTGGTAAAACATTCTATCAAGATCAGTAGAGAATTCTAGTTTCACGACATTTAATCAAATAAGTCATTGAAATTCGGGATGTATTTGAGTTCTTTTTTTTTTGCTAAACAAACATTTAGGGGAATGGCAGTTGAGGATCCAACAGCAAAACATGGCCTAAGACTAACAATTGAAGATTACCCTTTTGCCGCTGATGGCCTTGTCCTCTGGGACGCCATCAAGCAATGGGTTACAGACTATGTAAACCATTACTACCCAGATGCAGCTCTGATCGAGTCAGACACTGAGCTTCAAGGCTTCTGGACAGAAGTTCAAACCAAGGGTCACGCAGACAAGAAAGATGAACCATGGTGTCCTAACCTAAAAACACAAGAAGATCTTGTCCAAATCTTAACAACTATAATCTGGGTAACTTCTGGTCACCATGCTGCTGTAAACTTTGGTCAGTACCATTTTGGTGGCTACTTCCCGAACCGGCCAACAGTCACCAGACACAAGATGCCAACTGAGGAGCCAACGGAGGAAGAGTTCCTGGAATTCTTGAAGAAACCCGAGACTGTCTTGCTAAGGACATTCCCTTCACAGGTTCAGGCAACAAAAGTGATGGCCGTTTTGGATATTTTGTCTGGTCATTCACCCGATGAAGAGTATATAGCGGAGAGACCAGAGCCTTCGTGGGAAGAAGTTCCAGTGATTAAGGTGGCATTCGAAAGGTATAACGCGAGAATAAGAGAGCTCGAAGGAATCATAGATGAGAGGAACGTCGACTTGAAGCTGAAGAACAGAACTGGTGCTGGAGTTGTACCATACGAGCTCTTGAAGCCATACTCGGGCCCTGGAGTTACCGGAACGGGAGTCCCTAACAGCATCTCCATCTAAAAAAATGTACTGAGAAATCCATTTTAATTCAGATAATTACCAAGAAATTTCAAGCAATATTTCCATATAATATTAATCTTCAACCAGATATTACCGCTTTTCACCCATTCAAATTTTTATTTATGAATCCGTGGGTGGATACAAAGTCAACCCGGTTAGGTTTTGCCATTGAGGAGGAGGAATCTCCATCACCAATCCAAAGAAGAAAATTGAATTGAATAAATAATATTATATCATATAAGCTAATGTAATGTTTACGGCAGATTATACAGGTTTTAAAATCGTAAGAAAATTAAAAGCAAAATATACTTGGGCGGGGGGGATCTTTGTGGATTTGCCGGGGGCATTATTTTGTGGTAATCTTGCGGTGGTTTTTCTTACGCCGATTTAAAAAGAGTGTTTTTTATAAAATCTGAAAATTGAAGTGTGTGTGTGTACAGTGTACGTACATCAAAATTCTACTTTAGCAGACAGTAATCAAATTAGCAACCATCATCCACATGAACAACGTGTGAAAGAGTAAAATCAAGATGGGAATCCACTGTTTTAATTTTTCTTCTTAAGGAGAAGTTTTAGCCTTTGTTTGAACTAGTCTTCCATGCACAAGTAATTCAAGGAAGACTGCTAGGGGTTGATAAAGATTTGTACTAAATAAACAACACATTGAAAAAGAAAAAAAACATATATATATATATATATATATATAATCTTATATCCATTAATCATTATTTCATGTAAATAAAATTAATAAAATCAAACATAAACACGATAATTTAATATCGTTCTTATATATAAATGAAAACATATGTTAGGAATTAAAATATGTTATTAATAATCGTATTGTGTGATTAATTATATCAAAAGTTTAATTAAATTAATTAAAGATAAAATCAATTATCTCAAGAATTAATACACTCCTTGCTTGCAATTTACATACTTAAAACTTGAGAGGAGTTAAAGAATATTTAGAGAAAATTAATAAAAGAATTTTCTATCCCTCACGTGGGAATTAAAGAAAATAAAAAAAAAAAAAGAAATGAAATGTCTAAATCGAAGAAAATTCAATTTTGTATTTTACAATAAGTTCAATTACAACCTAAATAAATAGATTCCTCATATTACTTACGTAATAATTTTAAGCAAAAGAAAAGAATGCAACAAGTAATTTCTATTGTGGAAAACGTGTCTATGCGTATAAATGTGTATGTATCTTATATATATATATATATATATGTGTGTGTGTCTCAATTCATAAGACAATCAAGGTTAGCTAGCTACGAAAATGATAAGTTCTCGGTTTCAAAGATTGAACTCCTTAACCTCCCTACCCTCAATCCCCAACCTCTCACCTTCCTCCAACAATGGCGGACATTTCTTCCTCCCGCTGTATTCATGCCGCCATTTGCCAAAAAAGAACGTGAAGTTCTCCGTGCATGCTGTTTCTACGGATCTCAAGGCAGTGTCGAGAAGGGTTAGAGATGAATCTAATCAAGAAATGGAAGTAATTCAAATGTTTGTTCGAGTTAAAGAAAGAAAAGAAGGGTTCTTCGATAAATTAAATTTGACAAAAGCAAGCCACAATAGTGTTATTGCCCTTGGTAAATCGTTGATCTTGGAGCTTGTTAGCGTTGATCTTGACTATGGTAAGTACCGCTACAGAATTATAGTATTATATATATATATATATATATATAACTATTTTAAGGTTACTATTATAATCTTGAATTTGTAGCTCTTAAGACTAATTAATCATTACTAAATGTGGAAACTAACTTTACTATGAAACTCATTAAGCATAATAGATCTTGGTGGCCCAGCTATCAAGTTCTACTTATAGTGTATATATGTGTATGTGTGTATATATACACCAGACACGCAGGTATATAGATATAAATGTAGATAAAAAGTTTATTTACTGATGGGTCATTTCCCTTTGAACAAAATATCGAGTTCCATTTATGGTCCCTGTTTTTGGAGGATCTAATCTTTCCTGCTTGAATGAATGGTTGATTATTTTTCTTAATATATATATATATGAAATATGTAGATAAAAGAGTTCATCAATTATTTGGGTCTTTTTCATAAGAAATTATCATTTTAGTAAGATATTTTAGAATTAATCTTTAATAATTTTTTCTTACAATTTAATTCTTAAAATTTTCAAAATTATTTTTATTGTGATTTTTATACAATCATAAAAATTTTTTATAGAAAATAACCAAAATTCTTTCTTTTGTGTATATTTTATTTTTGTAAAATTTAAAAGTTATAACAATTAAAGATTAATCTTAATAAAAATAATTCATTTGTTTAATTTAAATCATGTAGATTAAAATAACATACATCAAGAAAAAAAAAAAGGTTTATAATACATTTTTAAAAAAATTTCTTTTACAATATCTAATTCTCAATAGAAATATTTTTAATGTACTCAAATAAAAATAAAATCTTAAAGAATAGTGTTTTACAATTTATAAATTCATGACGATCAAATTGTAATTAAAAAAATATGAGACTAAATTATAATATAATTCATAATTTATAGACTAAATTAGTTAGTAATTTCTCTTTTTCTTTTTTATATAGAATAGTTTGAAGAAATATGAATGTCCTAATATTAACTTAACAAGTTACAGTACACACATGTATATACATATATATGTTTTAAGGTGATGCATTCATGTATGTTATAGTTAAAATATTCTTTTATGATTGTTGTATATGTTTTGCCTAATAATAAATTATATGAAATACATGTATATAATATTCTATTTCTTTTTTGTGACATGAAGATAAGGGATTGGAGAAAGAAAGCATCAAGGGTGCTTACAAAGGTAGAGCAAGCAAAGAAGATGGTTATGTAAAATTGGAGTTTGAATTCCTCCTGCCAAAAGCTTTTGGAGAAATTGGAGCTGTTCTGGTTGAAAATGAACTCCATGAGGAGATGTACGTAAAGGACTTGATACTCGTTACTGAATTATCTAATACTCTTACTTTCCTAATTGAGACTTGGGTTCAATCCAAGTTTGATAATCCTACAAAGAGAGTCTTCTTCGCCAACAAGGTCCTAATTTTTCAACTCGTTACTTTCTTTGTATACATATATACATGTACACTTTATGATCCCGATTAGAACAGCTAACACGAATGGTTAATCACACATACAGTCATACTTGCCGCAAGAGACTCCAAAAGGATTGGAAAGATTAAGAAAAGATGATCTTGAAAACAAAAGAGGAAATGGAGAAGGAGAGCGTAAAAATTCTGAAAATATCTACGATTATGCTACGTATAATGATCTTGGCGATCCAGATACTAGCAAAGAACTTAAAAGGCCTGTTCTTGGAGGCACGAAACATCCATATCCGAGACGTTGCAGGACGGGAATGCCAGTTTCTAAAATGGGTATTAATTCATCGTATTTTGTTAAAAAATTTAATTATTACTACTCATTTTTATAAAATATTTATTATTAGAATCAAATTATTTTATAAATTTAAATCAATAGAAAATAATTTGATATTCTATCATTTATATTATCCTAATAAGTAAAAAGTATATTATTTTGCGCCCAATATGCTCAGGTACATAATTAATTTTATTATACATAAAAGGATACTAAATATATATATATATATATATTTGAATTTGTTTCACTGTCAATCACATAACACTTGTAGCTATATGTGATCGTAATCATCTTTCCACATGATTCTTGGAAGAGACAAGTTTTATTTCCGACATATATAAATATGTACGTGTATATATATACACGTACTTGAATATGTAGAAGAGTCATAAGAAAGTAACTAAAAAAATAATATATATATAGACACAGATAACACTAATATCAAAATTATCAACTATATGATCAATAGTTATACAGGAACTTGACTGTAATAAGTTGATGATTTAAGTTGGAGTCCTACCCTTTACACGGGCTGAGTTCTCGTCTGTTTTTTCTCTAGTTGTTATAATTGATATTTATATGTTAATTCGTTGATGAATGTATTAATTTTTATTAAAATTTAATTAATTCTTTTTATTAATGCAGATTCTTTATCAGAAGAAAAAAGTAATGGAACTCCGTATGTGCCGAGAGATGAGGCATTTTCTGATGAAAAGCAATTGAGTTTTCAAGGCAGCTCCATTAAGTCTGTGCTTCAAACATTAATTCCAATGCTCGGTAGTCGACTTCAAGATCCAACAAGCGGATTTTCTTCCTTCACTTCCATTGACTCACTCTTCAATGAAGGAATCGACTTGTCCAAACCCGAAAATCTTGGACTCTTCCGATCAATCATCACGAGGGTTGTCAACTTTGTTACAAGCCAAGATGATATTTTACGTTTCGATACTCCAGAATTGATTGACAGTAAGTAAATCCTTTCAAATTCTCTTTAATTTGCTCCTTGATTAATATAGATATATATATATATATATATATATATGATATGGTATATATGTTTCATCTCATCTATAATCTGTATTCAGGAGACAAGTTTGCCTGGTTGCGGGATCAAGAATTCGCTAGAGAAACACTTGCCGGTCTTAACCCATATAGCATACAACTAGTTAGAGTAAGATTAGTTCTTCAATCATTTGTACTAAATCAAGAATGAAGTTTAATTTCATTTATGATTTATTTCAGGAATGGCCATTAAAAAGTAAGCTCGATCCCGAGATCTATGGACCTCTAGAATCTTTGATAACGAAAGAACTCATCGAAAAAGAGATCAAAGGCATCATAACTCTTGAAGAGGTATCACATATAGAAGTACATATATCAAGTTCTTGTTTTTATGTTTGTTTAAATTTTAGAATTTAACAATGTTAGTAATGAAAAATCAAAATTTGCAGGCTTTGGAGCAGAAAAGGATTTTTATTCTGGATTTCCATGATTTATTATTACCTTATGTGAGCAAGGTGAGGAAGATTGAAGGTACCACCTTGTATGCTTCTCGAACACTCCTCTTCCTCAACGACAATGGGACCCTCAGGCCTCTCGCTATCGAACTAACTCGGCCACGAGATGGTGACAATCCGCAATGGAAGCAAGTTTTCACACCCTGCTACGATGCCGTAGGTTGCTGGCTATGGATGCTGGCTAAGGCTCATGTCGCTGCTCATGACTCGGCTTACCATGAACTCATTTCCCACTGGTAAATATTCTTGAGTCTGTACTAATTATACTAAAAATTTAGGCTGATAGAAAATAGTTTGATTATTGATGTTGGCTTATGGTATTTGACTCAAAATTGCAGGCTAAGGACTCATGCTTCTGTGGAACCATATGTAATAGCAGCTAATAGGCAACTAAGTGCAATGCATCCGATTTATAGACTTTTGCATCCTCACTTTAGATACACATTGGCAATTAACGCTATTGCTAGGCAAAATCTCATCAATGCGGGTGGGATCATCGAGAGCAGCTTCTCAACAAACAAATATTCAATGGAGCTGAGCTCAGATGTGTATAATCAACTATGGCAGTTTGACATGGAAGCCTTCCCTGCGGATCTTATTAGAAGGTATTAAATACGTGTATGTGCATATATACGCGTTGATCAAGAGCTCTTACTATTCGAGTTCAGTTACCTGACTATAGTTTGGTGTTTTTAGGGGAATGGCAGTTGAAGATCCAACAGCTAAACATGGTCTGAAACTAACAATTGAAGATTACCCTTTTGCTAATGATGGTCTAATCCTCTGGGATGCTATTAAGCAATGGATTGCAGACTATGTCAACCATTACTACCCAGATGACAATCTGATCATGTCTGATACCGAACTTCAAGGCTTCTGGACAGAAGTCAGAACAAAAGGACATGGTGATAAGAAGGACGAACCATGGTGGCCTGTTATAAAAACACAAGAAGATCTTATCCAGGTTTTAACAACTATAATCTGGGTATCTTCTGCAGTTCATGCTGCTGTAAACTTTGGTCAATATGCCTTCGGTGGTTACTTCCCCAACCGACCTACAATAGCTCGAATCAACATGCCAACTGAGGAGCCAGACAAGGATGAGTTCAGTGAATTCTTGAAGAAACCAGAATCTACCTTGTTAAAATGCTTCCCTTCACAGATACAAGCAACAACAGTAATGGCTGTTCTGGAAATTTTATCCACTCACTCACCTGATGAGGAGTATATCGGACAGATTCCAGAGGCTTCATGGATAGAGGACCCTGTGATTAAAGAGGCATTTGATAGATTTAATGTCAAATTAAAGGAACTTGAAAAGATTATAGATGAGAGAAATGGTAATTTGAAACTGAAGAACAGAAGTGGAGCTGGAGTTGTTCCATATGAGCTCTTAAAGCCATTCTCACCACCTGGAGTTACTGGAAAAGGAGTTCCTAATAGCATCTCCATTTAATATAAAATCTACTTAAAATATATATAAATGGGTGCTAACAGATTTTTATATATCTTAGGAGATTTGACCATATTTCTCATTCATTTACTTGTAAGCTATGCTCAGTTATATCTTATTCAATTATTTTTAAAGGATGAACTTTCCTTACGAATCATGTGATCTATAAGCACCCAAAGCTCAAGTTATTGCAGAAAATTGCAGGGTGAAATGAATGGTCTGGGTACTATTCATTATTTCCTCCGTATTAAAGAGTGAAGGCTCTCTTGGTTTCATTTTAATCTCTTGGAGAACCAAGAAACAACCTACCATCTTTAGGTCAAGTTTTGAAGTCGAATAGAGAATAGTTGCTTCTGCTGTTGCCGGCATTTGCTATATCAGAAACATATTGGATAACAATACAAAAACTACTTATATGGTCCTAAATCCAATTCAACATGCTCACTCAAACATGTCAGGTCAGATATTGATCTCAAGTCGTAACAGCTTTAGAAATATACCCGCAACCCAATCTCAAGTGCTAAAATCAAAAATCAAAATGCTTTATCATATAAGTATACAAGTATAATCTTGTAGTACATGTAACACAAAGAATAAAACCCAGGTTACAAATGGATTATCAGAACAAAAAAGCTATGGGTTGGTGGATAAGGAAAGGAGGAGACTCTGCGTTTGTATAAAGAATAAAAGAATGCTAAGGTATTTAAGTATTCTAATTACAGAAGGGCAATTATCTTGTCCCAATATTATATAGATACATACATGCAACTAGGTACGTATATGCAGTAGTAAATTGGAGTATACTGATGAAATAAGTGCGTTAGCCACAAATGCAACTCCAAAGATGCTCAATCGAACCATCATTGCCCTGCACAGATTGTTACCATCAAAGTTTTCTCAGTCAGAAGGGCTCAAATTCAAGGCACTTGTCAAACCAATGCAAGAAAATATCTTGGTGATATTTTTGCAGCATGATTATCCTTCAGCATGAACTTCACTGTCCAATCACAAGGAATTTCCACGTGAATCGTTGCACATACACTCAGGAATCGGGTACTTTGTAACATCTCTGCCGACTTTACTAGTCCTTACTTCTGGCTGCCCCATGGATTCACTGTGCAACTCCTTTATGATCCTGTTGAACTCCACTTCAGGCAGAGAGAAATTGAGGAAATAAGGAAGCATATGCCTTTTGTTTGGAGTAATATACTTCTTGTGCCCTGCATACGCTCTGTCTCCCTGTATCCATAATAAGAAAACCTGTTATTCTAATAGATAAAGAGAGTTCTTTTTTTTACAAAAGCAATTATAATTTGTGTATTAACCTGTTGTAACTACCCTAACTAAAAGAACCTAATTACCACTAAAATTTTTTTAGTTTTCCTTTTTTACTATGTCAGCAACTAAGAGAAAATAAATATATGATTCTTTTTTTCGCATGGTCAAACATCATGTCGCCATATATACCTGCATTGCGTGGCCCATGTTTCCTCCATGAGATGGCATGAAGACATCACTCTTCTCGGACACTATATAATCAATGGCAGCCATGAGAGAGGCTTTGTTTGCAAATGGTTCTAGTTCACCAGGCAATGCAAGATCTTGCTTATTATAGAAATGGGGGAATTCACTAGTTAGCGGTAGTAAGGCTTCTTTCCCACCCAATGGCTGCCCTCCGGCCCAGTAGATCCTTGCATCTTTCGGAGCTCCAAGAGCTTTCAGCAACCTAAATCACAGGACGAAACCAAAAAATAAGCCAGAGAAATTTCAAAACCTCAATTAAGATAAATACAGCTAAAATAGCATGGAACATATTCTACCTGACGACTTCCATGGCATTCAAGGGACAGAGACCAGCTAATTTACGCTCATGGTAAGTCATGTTTGATCTAGCAGTTAAAAGCTCTGGCCGCAGTTTCCTTTCATTGTTCACTATCTCATCATATTCTCGGCTCAAACCAGGAAGACAACCGGTTCTCACCCACACATCTTTCTCCATTCGAAGATGAAGGGCAAGGTAAGGTCCCTTGCTCCTCATCCTCTCTGCAAGCTTGTTTCCAAGTTCCAGAATTGGTGGAGCAAACCTCAGTGCATGAAATGCCACCTGAGTTAAACAAAGAACATATAATATGTATCAGATTCATATGCCATCCATGAAAAAAAAAGAAGAGGAATTCTAACCATTCATGTAAGAACAAATTGAATCTTTTCTGGGGGAATACCTTGCAGCGAAGCTTCTGGAGATCAGAAGGCAAATCCTTAGAAAGTCTGGAATCTAGGCCACGTAAAAGCAAAACACCTTCCCTATTGATCTGCAAAAAGAATAAATAAAATCTTGATGAATAGTGCAAATTGGCACCCGAACCTTGACTTTTTGCTATCATCATACCAGAAGGTATAAGAACTTTACTAATAAAACAAGCAGTCAAGAGAAAACAAGCATATCGACAGCTGGTTCATAACACCTGCATCATGTTAAATGAATCATAAAACTCCAGATTTCCACAGAAAGAAAAAGATAAATCCACTAATTAAACCAGTTTTATTGTTTATGTACGAGAGTTTTGAAGCTTTCCACAACATACTTTTTAAGTGGGAATTCATAAATTTTATTAATTAGATGACAAATATACACTAATTATAAAACAATCTCCGAACAAAAACATATATCAATGCACAGTCTAATTCGAACTCATAACCTTGTATGAAGGGAGTGAAATACCAACCATCCAAGTAAAAAATTGCCAAGCACACTTAAAGCACGAGTTAGTTAGAAGGCTCCTCAACTTGCAGCATATAAATTAAACAGCTCCAAGAACTAGTGCAAATAAAAAGGCATACATGACATCAAAAAAAAAGTAGCAATCAATAGATTGATAACAAACGATAAACTGCCTTGGGATCTAAAAATTTTCCCGACAAGCAACAAAGCAAAGCCTTTTAATAGCAAATTCGTAACAGAAAGCAAATTTTCAAAGAATAACCAGAAAAAAGAAAAAAAAAATTCATACCCGCTTAAGATAGCGCGATCGAATCCACTGAGGAGAGACATGAAGAGGAGTCCTCTTTTCTTCTACTGGCCTTGTCATTATATGGGTGGAAGGCAGTGATGAAACTATGCGCACATCATCAGCCAGTACCCTTTTGAAGTGCTCCAAATCAAATATATCAGAAAATTCACTGCAACAATCAAAATAGAAAACATGAAAAAAAATTCAATCTCCTATGCACTTATCAATATAGATAAAGAAAAAGACACTGACACAATAGGACACAAATTTAGCTGGTTTGGACCATTCTATAAAATGGGCACAGCCACTAAATTCAACCCAGCTCGCAAAGTTCTCCTTTTGGTAAAATAGTAAATGCTAGATTCATTGTACCAAGGGAAAATCAAAACGGCACAAAATCTACCACCTTTTGGGGAAGAGAACTTATTAATATACTAAGTTTATACCATTCAGAAATCCAATTTGAAGCGCACAGAGCTCAAGCTCGTCAACTTATTAATATACAAGTTATGAGTATTTACCTCTCATCACCCCAGATGACATTGACTTGCAAGATAGGGACGACAAGAGTAGCACCAAGAATCCTAGCAATCACCACAGCATCAACAATCTGATTCCTCTGCTGATTCATTCCGCCAGAAACCACCACAAGCAGATACTTTCTCCTGTCTTTGACAATTTCAGCACTCTGTCTCTTGTACTCCCCACTAAACCCCAAGCAAGGTCTGTAACCTAACCCATCTGGTTGTTTCCAAAACTCACTTTCCTCATTTGACTCGTACCCTTTGGAGACCAACCCTTGTTTTTGAAAACCCACATCTTGTTTTGAATACTGGGTGGGTGTTAACGCCGGAGATTCACCATTAGCATTCAAAATCTCATATTTATCAACATTGGTTCCAGTAGTGATAGCAGAACCTAGATGGGTTTGTCCGTAGCCATTAGAGATTGAGTCCTGTGGTTGAGTTATAGCACATGGGTAAGGAGAAAAAGGGATCAAAGGATCAACATTGAACCCCAACTTTAGCATACCAAGCAGACCAAATAGAAAGAGAAGCAAGAACCAAAACCTTGGGCTTCTGTATGACAAGTTAGACCCAAAAGGAAACCATCTTGAATTCTTTGAAGCTTTCTTTGGTGAGAGAAGAAGAGATTGAAGTGAAGATGAAGATAGAGAGTTGATTATCTGAGATGGAACTGAAATATAAGAAATCTTCTTCTTTAATTTCGCCATTAAAGAAAGAAAAACCGAGCAAAAAAAAAAAAGAAATGAAAAAGAAAAACTACTCCTTTTGCTTAAAGAAAGAAACTTTCTGGTTTATGTAAGTTTTTGGTTGATTGAAGAAACTCCAGAGAAGAATTAGAAAGAATAAAACGTGTAATTTGTGGAAGGAGAAAAGAAGGAACAGACGGCGGGAATACAAAGTCTGATCACTTCTGTACGCGTTCTTGAGAGAGAAAGGTTTGATCTTTGGACAGTTCCGTGGGGCTTGAATTCAAAGAAGCTAATTTGCTTTCCTTTCATTTTTTTAAGTGGGATTTATAACTCTCAAAATTCAATTTTTATTACTTGTCTTTTCAAAAAACAAAAATAAAAAATAAAAAATCAAGGTAAACCCTTCTAAACCATATTAATATTAAAATTCAATATGGTAAAATTAATTAATATTAATAATGTAGTGATAACAAAAAAAAAAGTCAACATGATGACTTTTATATTTATATTATCTTATTACTAATTTGAAGAGATCAAATTCAATGGAAAAAAGGGTAGTTCATGATTCTTACATATATTTTTATTTAAAAGAAAAATTATATAAATATTATTGAAGGGTAAATGTGTAAAATTAAAAAAAGGGTAAATTTCAAGTGTGAAAAATAATTATTGGGGTTTTTGGAATACATATGTATAGGTTAGGTATATATACATATACATATATATATATATGTGTGTGTGTGTGTGTCGTGTAATGTAAAGGCCAGCTGTTCCAATAAAAGAACATTTTTTTAGGTCCAAGTATGATGACAGGCTGTGACCTGCTTGTCCAATACCCATCAATTTCCCATAAAAACATTTTATTATTTTTATTTTAAAAAATTTATTATATATTCTTTTAGCAAAAATAGCCAATAGGTAATCTCCATCAACCAAGCTAGACGCCAGCTGGCATACACGCTGGCATATATGCCACGTGGCAGATAGTGACGTCTCAACATCTGCCACCTGATGCTCCTTCCTATATTTCTTGCTTTATTTTGGAAGTGGGGCCCACTGGGGTCCACTCCCACCACTTCAAACTTCCTAGGTATGTAAGTTGATAGAGATATTTGCATTTAAATTATATTTTTATTGTTTTTAGTTGTCAATTTTTAAAAAAATATTTATTTTTAAATAATTATTTAGTCAATTTATATTATTTTATATAATATCTTAATAAAATTATAAAAATTTTCTCATCCACCTATAATAGCCGTGATAAATTTTTGTTAATTTAGATATGTATAAAAATATATTTTATGAATTAATTTAATGAAATTTTTGTTATATTTGAAAAAAAATAAATTAGGGATGAGATTAAAAATAATTTTGGAGAAAAATATGTGAAATTTTAAGTTCGAATGATATTTTTAAAAAGAAAAATAAAAAACCGGAGTTAGAGTGAAAATAAAAAACATTTGGCCACATAGGACTGCTCCGTCAATAGCCCCGACGAATCGAAGTGCGTCGCGTGGTAAGGCACACTGACTCGGTGCCACGCGTGAGGACATACTGGTGATCCGCTTGCCCCACGATCGAACGGCCCAGAAGCGATCCTGTGCGCATGTATGGTCTGAATCCGTTTTCTCCTTATGCGCGATTAGACAGTCGAGATCAAACGCGATGAACGGGACAAATTTGTTTCTTCTTTAGACGCGATCAAACGGTTGAGATTAAATGCGATGAACGGTTCATATTAACCCAAGATGAGTATAAATATTTTGCATCACACCAAACCCAAACCCTAGCTGCTAGCCTCCCGCCGGAGAAAAAGAACCAGTCGCTAAAAAAGGGAGCCGACCGTCGACTGCTGTCGCACTGGAGCCACCTTCGACTGCCAAAAAAGATAAAAAATTCTCCTACCCGCTCAGAATTTGATTCCAAGCACCCCTGTGGTCATACCGAAGTAAAACAAACGGCGGGTGAGCCGAAAACCGCAGGCAAAATCCACAACCGCCTTCGATGAGCCCCTTCCTGTTTCTCATTCCGTGCGATTTTTTCACCATTGTGTTCATTGTTCTATTTTCTACAAGTTGACTGAAGAAAAACATTCAGTCACGAAGGTGAGCCAGTAGAGCCACAGCACCGAAAAACTCCACCATTGGTAGGTTTTCATTTTCTGATTTTTTTCGGCTAACTAAGGCCGCCTAATGTGTTTTTTCACAAGAATATATATAAAGGCGGCCGAAACCAGCCAAAACTGGTCGAAATCGTCAAGGCCGAGGCAAATCGCTGCCACAGACGACAGTGCCATCGTCGAAGCACGGCGGTGCTATCGTGCCAGAACCCCAAAATTGGCCGGAAAGAATTTTTAACACCGGTTTTAGTTTGGAGTATTTTTAGGTACGTGAAGCGTATTTTAATCACTACCAAAAAATTCAGGAAACTCGGAGACTACCAGTAGGCGTAGTAGAAAGTTCGGTATTTCAGACACCGATTCGTGTAAGAATCTCTCACCTTATTTTCTGTTATGAAATTGAAGTTTAATAATCAATAATATAGTATTTTGTATAATTTAAAAAATTTTAAGAATAATTATAGGTTACTAATGGAGGCAGAACCGATTAGTTATTTATTTATCATATTTAACCGATTATTGAATTTACAGCTTTAAATATATGATAATATACTGAAATGGTTAAATGATTCAGTTATGCTTCCTTGATGTATATATTACTTGTCTTGCATGATTTACGGTTGATTTGTAAAATTGAAAATTAATATGCGAACGAAAAATTGTTTAGTTATGTAAATTAATGAATGGTTGCCTTACTGGATATCTTGGGAGATGGTGGACAGATCGGGTACATAGGGAACCCTACCGTGAATGTCATCTCATATCGGATGGGGTATCGAGAGATGGTATTTTTTGCACTTACACCGAATCAGGTATGAGGATGACCCGGTTCACCCTCATACCAGACGGAGTATCAAAAGATGGTATTTTTTGCGATTATACCGAACGGGGTATGGGAACGACCTATTAGTTGACAAGTTTAGATATTGGATCATGCGTAGTGAGACATTCCTACAGACTCCCAGGGATACTGGTAAGTAGATAAAAACGGAAAGTTGTTGTTCTTCCTCACTTCAATATGAGATTATAATATTATTTAAGTTATTGTCTCCATAGGTCGACTTTACAAATCTCACAACGGTAAATATATAATAAATGATTTTTCTTATGATAAATAAATTTACTTAAATTAAGAGCTCAATTGGTTATTTTTATTATTTTTACTAACTTTCAGTTTCTGTATCGGTGAGTAGTGTGATATTCTTACTGAGCTAGTGTAGCTCACCATTTCATTAACTATTTCGGATTAAGAGGACCAAGATCCAGATCCCGATCAACAAGAGGGTTGTGAATAACTCACCACCCAGACTCCCTTCAAAAGCTAGTGAAGGTCGTCATAGGATGCTCAGTTGTATACTTTTCGTTTATTTTTTTTTTATTTTCGTTTGTTCTTTTAGAATGGACATTCTCGTAACCCTATTGGGTATTCTAAATTATTGTGTAAGGAATGTAAACTCTAACTCTATTATTTCGCTTATGTATTTAATTTATGATTTTCTTTTCTTTTAAATTATGGATCTTTACAGTTGGTATCAGAGTCGCGTTCCTCGAAACTATTCCTTACACAATAACCTAAGGAAACACTAAAAAAATAAATTATCGCTCAACCATTTCTTGTGAAAGGCAAATACAGATAAATGAGGAGAGAAAAACTCCCACTAAACCGAGCAGCCCAGGAGGGTTCACTTTAAGAGTATGTTGATCGACTATTTGAAATGCTGGAGAGACTCATCGTTGCCCAACAGGCCTGAAAGGAAAGGAGGGAGCTACCTAACCCTCTCCTACCACAGTTTGAGCCACCCCTATAGCAGGAGGATCTTGAGCCACTCTGGTACAACCCTGCTCCTCCACAGTACCATTCGGCACCACCACAGTACAATTCAGTATCCCCATTGTATCATCCAGTACTACCATAGGGTCATCTAGTCCCTCCCTAGTATAATCCAGTCCCTCTTCCACAGGACCCAGTTCCACCAATGATGGACCCATATCATATTGAGAGGTATAAAAGACTAAACTCATCTATTTTTGCAGGGGCATTCTCCTTTGAAGAGGCTGAGTACTGGTTAGCTAAGACAAAGAATGCTTTCACGACTCTTAGGATAGTCCTCGAACAGAGAGTTATACTTGCCACCTACATGCTGGTGGGAGAGGCAGGTTGTTAGTGGTAGTTCAAGCAGGCCCACCTACCCATTCCAATCACTTGGGAACAGTTCCTGATGGTCTTCAATGTAGAGTAACTCCTAGAGCACCTCCGACATCTTAAGAAAATGAGGTTTGCACATCTAGTCTAGAGTGATATGACTGTGTCAGATTATACCTGATAATTCTTAGAGTTGGGCCGATACTCCCCTGAGAGCATAATGGATGAAGGCAGAAAGGCAAGGAAGTTCGAGTAGGGCCTTTGTCCTGATATTAGACAGCAGTTGTATGTGTTCGAGCTCAACACTTACTCAACTATTCTGGCCAAGGCACAGCCGATGGAGAGGAACTTTCGCATTTTTCTTCCAGCAGTGAGGAACCTCAAACCCATGGTTTCACACTGCAAACCAGCACACACTACACCTGTTTAGTAGAACAAAAGATCTAGGCCACTAACTCAGGCTCCTCCTCAGATTTCGATAACATGACGAGCTAAAACTTGCCAGCACTGTGGTAAAGGATCATGGGGACCGACTCTGCTATTGCCTCAATAATACTTGTCATATATGGTGGGAGTGTCTAGCACTACGCTAGAGAGTGTACGAGAAATTAGAACCAGGCCAGACCTCCTCTCTAGGGCAGAGCTTACACCCTTACTCAGTAAAATGCAAAAGCCAACCCAAACATGATACAGGGCACACCTAAGAAAGAAATTTGCATTCGAGAGATTTTGATAGTACGCGATTTTTTGGATGTGTTTCTTGATGAACTAATCGGACTGCTAGTAGACAGAGAAGTTGAATTCACCATAAATCTTCAGCCAAACACCCAGCCTATCTCGGTTGCCCATTACCGCATGAGTCGTATTGACACGGAAGAGCTGAGGAAGTAGATCAATGAATTGTAGGATAGTGAATTCATCCGACATAGTGTCCATTTGGGGTACTGGAGTCACATTTACAATGAAGGGGGATAAGGTGTTAAGGTTATGTACTGACTACAGGGGACTGAATAAGGTCACAATTAAGAACAAG